TAAATATTATGGTTATTACAGCTGGCAGAAGATGAATTTACAATTTACCATAGGAATATAGAACCCAAGAGCTCTCTCTCCAGGGTGATTGTCTTATGAATAAAATAGGATTTTTTGCATCAAGTAGAGATTTTAATTTGCCAGTTTTAATCCTCTGCATATTGTTACTTGGTGTTGGCTTGAATTTTGTTATTAACTTTTAGGTAACAGTCTCATATTTTTCAGATATCTACCTCTGAAATCAGAGACAATAAAAAAAATGTGCTGTATAGCTTTTCCTCTCACCTTTTTCCAGGGTCATTGTGGAACTGGGAAATTCTGACATTCACAATTCCTCTTCAGAGACATGGTGAATGGCAAAGGGGATCAGAGATAGAAGAACAAGCCATCTCAATACTGTTAACACAAAACACTTAAGTCCTAGGAATATTTATTCAAAGTTAACTTACCTAATGTATCAGGGAGGAAGGCTGATCTGATTAAAGTGAAGATGGTTTTACAGATCTGTGTTATAGCCCACTGGGGAAACTTAATCGTTTTCCCCAGAAGCTGTAAGTTCTCTTGATTATGGCAAACAATTTTGAATCAACATGGAAAAGAACATTCTTGTAATTACTGGTTCTTGAAAGAAGTTATTTTGATCACGGGGAACGACTGAGGGATAACTGCTCTCAATCTGCAAGCAGTAGACTTGGAAGATCAATTGGATCAATCTATCCTGCTCAGGAATGTATTTTTGAATAGTCAAGCATCTTTCTTTAGAGGACAAGATATTTAAATAATTATGTTCAACTGTACTAACTTTAGCATGTTTTAATGTCCTTCCAGCAGCTAAGACTGTGCCCTTATGATGAAAGACTCAATGAATCTAGAGTCCATGTTTGTTTACTGCACCTTTTATAAGGATTCAAGGGCCCTTTTATAACTCCCTATTTGATGAAATACCCAGGCAATTTTGACATGGCTATTCCTGACATCTTTGACATTGAATATCAATGTTGAATGCGACAAAACTTTGTTATACTGCCTGAATATAATTTTACTAGCCCGATATCCATGCTTCGCTACCAAACTATGTGATCGGGCTTAGTTTTGGGGGAGGAAAATAAGGGGGGGGGGGAATGCTGCCTCTGCCTACCAGCATCCATCGGTATTCATCTGACTAGCATCCTGTCAGTGTGTGACAGCATTGAGGGCTGTTTGAAAACTGAAACAGTATTTGCTATGTGAGCAAGGAGACAGCAAAGAGCCTGGGCGTGGCTTAGCTCAAGTACTAAATCTGCTTGGTGCTATGAAACTGAAACTCCTCTCCTCTGCTTGTGTTTTGGATTTGGAACAGATTTCTTTTCAGGTGGGGAGGGGGAGTAGAACTCCTTAGCATCAGAATGGGTTAATAATAATATACGAAATACTAATGATCTGATGGTCATTTGTCATTTTGAAAAATCATTTCTCAGTGAGCATCTAGAAGCCATACATGCCAAATTTCAAATTTGTAGGCTTTACGGTTCTGGAGATTTTGTGATGATGTGTGAGTGGTATTTCACTTTTATATATATAGATTACAATTAGGAACTGTCTCATTTAGCAATCATTCAGTTACAATGGTGATGGCAAAAGAAGGTGTGACCAATCCTCCTGTTTAAAACCTTCGTAGACCTGATACAGTTGCAATTTCACTTAGCAACCACTTTGATTAATGACCAAGCCGCCAGTGCTAATTGAAGAAGTTAAATAAGATCTATGCTGGCTATAAACCTGATTATATTTCAATCACTTCAGGGATGGAGGTATAGTTTTACCTTTGTATTTTGTTTGAAGTAGAAATTGTTTAATTTGTGACCTTAATTAAAAAAACATAACACAAAATACTTCAATTCTATGAAATTATATTCTTAAAAAAAATTTTTTTAAACCCCAAGTACAAGTTAAGTCTTATCCAGTTCAATTAGATCTGCTTCCGGACAATTTTCTTAGGATTGCCAACTTACCAATCATATCAAACCTCTGAGCTGTATCAATGCAAAGATGGGATGAGTTGTTCTCAAGGATGAGCTTCTCCTTATTTTTTGCTTAGAGAAGGACAGGAATTCATCCTTAAGAGTTACTCTGAGCTTGAAAGTTCTGCCAAGCAGTTAATATATTATGGCTTCTGTTACACAGTACTAAACCTGCCCCAAGATCTACCCCAAGACAGGCACCAATGTCCACAACTATTTGGCTCATTCAGAATTTGAAGGCAATCAGGCTAATAGGAACTGTAGAAATCACTCATAGTAGTTTTTAAAATCAAATCCTGAATCCCCTTGCTTGAAGATTAATGAAACCACCATTACCACTATATTGCTGTCAATGCTCACTTGTTCCCATGGAAATAATCACATGCCCACCAGATGTTTGAAACAAACAGCAGCCTCCTCAATCCTGGTCTTTTTAGTGGGGCTTGTAAGCAAAAACACCTGGAGAGCACCCAATTTACTGTCTCACTGGATCACAAATCAGTGATTTCCCTTTTCCAGACAGAAAAGTCCAGACAATAAGGGAAGCGCCTATTTATCATATTGCATAATCAGCAGGCTTCTCTTGACATTTCTTTGCTTTAGAGCTTTTTCTTGTTGACTTGTCAAAACCTTTACAGCTATGCTCTGTATTTATCATATAAGCTGCAAGCATTGCTTTTTCCCATTTAACCTTTAGAGTAAGGCAAATAATTACGGAAACAAATTGAAAAGATTGCAGGCTGCAAGCAGGTTTGTGAAACTCAGACACATATATATGTACGTATGTACGTACCTATGTATGTTACTGTATGTATATTTCTCACAATGATTACTTAGAGGAATGTTTATCTTGCTGTGTAACTCTGGGGTTTGGCAATATAAAAGACATTAATTCTGCCTTTCACTTGTGAAACTCATTGTATAAAGTTACTTTTTTTTCCTGTATTGTAGCGAAAACAATTTCTAAAAATAAAATTGGGACAATCCCCCCCTCCCAATTTAAAATATTTGTTCTAATCTTCAAGCCAATTATTCAGTTTGGGATCTGTAAATAGTTATGTGCTTAAAACCAAGGGTTTACATACCTTTTCTCTATTTTTTGCTTTTGTTAAGCAAAGTATTTTCTCCAATGCAGATTCATTAAACAAAGTATCTCTTTATATTCTGGTAGATGGTACTAAGACTAGGAACAGAAAGCACTGCTGCTGCATATGGAGCACCAGAGACCGACTTCTGGTTAATAAAACAGCCAATGCAATTTTCGATGAGGAACAGAGACATTTACATTCAAAATAAGTTGTGTTTTTATAACTTCTGCTGTCATGGAAGCATCTTGAACCTTTCCTTTATCTGTAAGTACTAAAACATATTATGAGGTATCTGCATTTTATGGCATCTAAATATTGTTAAAACATGGGATTTTAATATTTTTGTACATTTGTGTGATGTTGGCATTTAATCAAAAAAGCTACTGTTTAATTATGAGATCCTGCTGATTTTAATGTTTAAAGCTGCAAAGACTAACACTCTACAGTGCTCTTGAGCAACAGTAAACCATGAGGTAAAAGTGGTACCATTCAGGGCTTGCTTCTCCCTCTATCACAGCTGATGAGGAGATGAAGCTGGATCTATCACATTGTGGTAGAAAATAAAACACAAGGGTTGTGAGAATTTTAAAAAAAAGAAGTTCCCAACAAAACATATGATATATACTCTCTTGCAGAAGCAATTTTAAAATTGTTAATACACAGTATACCCATTTGGTATAAGTCACTTACAATAAGTTAAGAAAGCCAGTATAAGATTATGACATGGAAAGCAGTGAAGCTAATTAAATTGGTAAGTTCAGTATGAAAAAATAATAATCATAGAGGAATAGCAGATACACTGCTAACACTAAGTACAAAAAAATCATTCTCTTTCCATTGCCAAGTCTTCCAGTTTTTACTCTTCAAAATCCATGTCTGAACTGTAGTAAAATTGAAACTACTATAGAACTGTAAATATTTAATGGGAAATATTTGGAAAACTTTAAGAAGCAAAGCTGTTCATAAGAGCGTTTAATTAAAATGTGTCATAGGGAACACCTATTTTATATGTTGAAAATAAACATTAAGTGAAATATTGGTTTTAACATCAGGAAGGGTTGCATTTGTTAGTTTAATTTTGGGAGTATTGTACATCAGTATATGCGTGTGAAAGGTAGCAATATAAAATATGACACATAAATACACATAAATACCATTTTTTGTTCAATGCTCAGTTGACTCCTTATAAATTTAGAGATCACCATTCTTGCAGAAGTGTCCAACTTCCCAATCCAATTAAATCAAGAGCACGTTTAAATCTCAAATGTATAAATAGGAAGTTACAGATATTTATCTAATTTATAGTGGTGTCCATTCTCATGAGGAAGTGACTATGGGTGGCATACAACAAAACTAAATATCTAAAATAATTAACAAATATTAAAAATCACTATGGTTGGTCATTCTGCTTAATATTGCCAACATTTCAATTCTAGTTTGAATTTATTGTGTCTTAGGTTTTCAGGAACTATTTTGCTTGTCTTTAAGATAAATTTTTCTATACCACACGTGTTTAATATGAAGCAAAGGACAAGATGAATTGAGTTTTAAGTTACAGGGGGAAAAAACCTATTTTAAATCTTGGATGAGCTCAAAAATAGCTTGATCTTCTGAAAAGGAGCAATATTACAATAAAACTCTCTGTAAATGCCAGGAGTATTTACTAAATTAAAAGAACTGAAGTATGAAAAGACTATCTGAACTCCAGCTTGAATATTCCTTGCAAAAATTGAGAAGCTATATCGAGGTACATTTCAGTTCAAATCCAAGACCTAATACTGCTTATAGGACTAGAATTACACTAAAAAAAAATTCCCCATACTGTATTACAAAATGGATTGGGAGCTTCTAAGCTGGCTAATAATGGCACAAGTCTTTCCTGATTTTTTTTTGGGGGGGGGCACAGGACATATCTCATTTTTACATCTTACCATTGCATTTGCAGTTTCTGCCACTGTGGCTGATTATCAGCACCTCCTTGTGCTCAGTTGCTCTCACGCACTACTCATTTATAATCACGCCTCTCCAAGTGCCCGGTGTACATCTGCTCAGTCCTTTTGTAGCCTTCTCATCTGCTGCAGGGTCACGTTTAGCAAGCCATTCAGTTAGCCGTTATTTCAAATGCAAGCACTTGTTTGCTTATTTCTCCTGCCTTTGCCCTTGCCACTCTCTCTCCCCTCCTCCTCCTATCACATACAGACAACTACAGCCTTGGCTGGGGAGCCAACAGGCAGTAACACAGGTTTACAGCAACAGAAAAGAAACAAGCAGACAAAAGGTGACGGCAAATCTCATCATGGCATCGGCCGCTCTCCAATTTTTTGCTTTCGTCCTAGCCTTGTTTGGTGTTTTTGGTGCGATCGCAGCCACTCTGTTGCCCAACTGGAAGGTGAATGCAGACACGGGCTCAAACATAATCACGGCCATCACTCAGATGCAAGGGCTCTGGATGGACTGCACATGGTACAGCACCGGGATGTTCAGCTGCACGCTGAAATATTCAATCCTGTCTCTCCCTGTTTACATCCAGGCAGCAAGGACCACCATGATTCTGTCCTGCATCCTCTCCATTTTTGGGATCTGCATTGCCACAGTGGGGATGAAGTGCACCCTCCTGGGAGGGGACAGAGAGACCAAAAACCACACGTCAGTTGCCGGAGGAGTCTTCTTTATTTTGGCAGGAATATCTGGCTTGATACCAACAGCCTGGTACACGAACGAGATTATTTCAAAATTTCTGGACCCAACTATTCCAGAAAGCAGTAAGCATGAACCAGGAGGAGCAGTTTACATTGGATTTATTTCAGCTGGACTTCTGCTTGCTGCAGGTGCCATCTTTGGCACTTCCTGTTTTAAGAAACAGCAGAGAGCAGAGATTTATTCTAACAAGCAGCAGAATCTGCACCCAGCTGCCCGGCAAGTGGACACAGGCTACAGCCTGAAGGACTATGTGTAAATATGGTGGTGGACCTGTCCTCCAAAGTTGTTTATGTAGTCTTGATTTTATAACAATGCGGTTGATGCAAGCCTTATAAGTGCATTGGGTGAGGTGTTTATTTATTAAAAAAAGAAAAAGATGCTAAGAATTTAAAATCACTAACCATTTATTACTGGTACTGCTTTGCAGCTAGATTATACTGAGAATGGGGTGGGGTGGGATAGAAATATAAATCAGTTACAATAGTTCGTACTTGTCACATGCCACCTTTAGTATCACGAAGTGTCTTATTTGAATAATGGCACCAGCTGAACTGATTCTGCCTTACTGGGAATTTCTGTGTGTTGTTTTTAAATGTTATCTGCATTTCTCAATGTCAGGTTTCAATGACTATGATAAACGATATATATCTCAAGATTTCTTTGAAAGAATAACCGTTATCCCGACATATTTGAGGGTTAGCTGCCCCCAGACTCTATGCCCCACAATAATCTGCTCTCATTCTGTTTTCTTTGGAAAATGCCTACTTAATATTTTGCCTTTAATTTTAATTGTCAAACACAACAGGACTACAAGACGTACCTGACAGGATATTTTTTTAAAAATCCTTTCTTTCCAAAGCTTGATTTCTAGCAGTTTTAAATAACATACAACATAATTAACATAATTAAGTAAACTCTTTCAATTGTCAGTAACTAGTGAATACTTCAGCAGTATTTAAAGCTGTATGTCATCTAGCTATTATCTATAATTTATGCAAACTATTTTCAAAGCAATCTTCAATCAGATTTCAAAGATTTGGGCTATTTGCCACTCAGAGATTTAGCAGGCAATAGTAAATTGTTTTATAATTATTTTGCCAGCAATAGCCTTTCTTTTGAATCTTTTTCTTGTGTCCATCTGCAAAAACAATGATCGGTCACAAAGTAACCACTCATTTCCATTCAAAAGGAGAGATAAAATTTGAACACGTTGGTATATAGCACAATGTAAAGAACGAAGTTTGAATCAGCTTGAAATATAATTTGAACTACCTGTAGATTTCTATAATTCATATTTTCTAGTGACAGCAACGTTAAATCACTCAACCAAAAGACCAGTTTTTTGTTTCTTATATAAGAATTACAGTATGAATTTTTAGTTAGAAAAATAAAAGGATGTATAGAGGCTTCTAAAATTATACATAATGTGACAAAAAATGTAAATGTAACTTTTGCCCCTATCAAAAAACCAGAATCATGAGTTTGTTTGTTTTGCAATTAAGAAATTTTCCCATAGAACAAAACACAAATCAAAAAGAAAAAAGTGCAAAAAATAAAAGAGGAATTACAGTCAATAAAATTATAAGTGACTTCAGACCTTGTTTCCAATAGATAATTGCAATCTTATTATCCCTCCTACCTGAAGTCCTATCAGTCCCTCATTTAATCCGTATCTTTAATAATTGTCAAATCTATAAGACATTATGGTTTTTTTCCCTCAGAGTCACAAGTCATATAGCAAAGCTGAAAAGTGGGGAAAGGGGGCTGGGGATAAATATTTGGGATACATAAAACACACTGCTAAATGTTAAAGATTACTAACAAAAGATATAATGGTAAACTGTTTTTTTTTTAAAGACACATCAACTGCAAGGGACAGTAAGGTGGTATTAGTAGCCATGAGAGTTATCCATTACCTCCAGTAACAGAGGCAATAAACCTTTCCATGTGGTTAGAGAGCCAGTGAGTTTTGCCACTACTTTATCTGTGAAATCTGAACAAAGATTCTGATTACTTCATAAAACATTGTAAAGTGTAAAACACAAACTCAAAATATAACACCTATTTTGGTTAGTGTAGCATTTCAGTTTGCAAAACATTATTATATATAGTTTATTAATACATACATACACACACACACAACCTTTCTCCCTAAAGGCGCGTTTTTAAGATAAGTACTGTATATAAATGCTGATTCATTTTTATCACAAACATTTGCTTGTGGTAATTCTGAGACATATGCAGAAGTAACTTTAAGTACATTTAAAACAAAAACAAAACCTCAACTTTGAAGAGAAGCAGCCCTAAGCTAGTATAAACCAATATAATTGCAATTCAACAATGAATATTAAGATGTTATTATTTTCATGATATAAGACCTGAATAAGTTGTAATAGATTGATAGAGGACATACTGGAAGCTAAAAGTGATGAACAACCTGGGTGCAACTTTACCAATGTACCATCTTGGAAATAAGTGTTTCACTATAGCAACTGTTTCAAAAGAGGCCCCAAGATGGCCATTTGTAAAAGTACCCATGAAAAACTATCTTGATTCCCAAAATATTTTGTCAAAGTCAGACAAATTTCAAGAAAAAAAGACACCAGCAAGATCAAAACAAAATAAATACTGCTTGCATAGAAATAGAGAAGAGTAACAGATCTTAAGAAAAGAGAGTATTCTCTCTGCAGACATACTGTATATTACTACCACCAATTTAACATGAAAAGAGCAATAAAAAATAGAACAGATAACAGTATTTATAGGGACTACAAGATCATAAAAATCATAGCACAAGATCATAGCACACTCTCCTCCTGTGCAAAGAGAAATAGGTAATCCTTTACACTTTGCCTAAAACCAAGAAGGAACAATGCTGGCCAAATTTCTGATAGCAGGGTGTTTCATAGAGTAGGAGTAATTACTGAAAATACCCACTTTGGAGTGCACCCTAGATGTCCATCTCACAGAGGTAAGACCTGGAAGGAGTCAACCTTATTTGATCTAGTTGGATGGGCAGACCCTTAGATAACTAAGTCTTGAGTTACATTGGACCTTAAAGGTAACAATCAGAAGCAAGAATTATACTTGGTAATTGTCTAGCAACCAATGCAGCCACCAAAATAAGTTGATTCACCTGAAGATACTGGAATACAAACATTAGTGCCTAGTCCACTGCATTTTATACCAGTTGTAGCTTCTGAATGCTAATCATTAAGGGCAGTTCCAAGTTCTGGGAAGGTACCCAAATTGAGTGCATTTATTTCATTTTGACTTAATGTAAGATGAAAACCTAGCTACTACAGTATGCATTTATTCAATAAACCATGGCATAAACAAATTATGGCTTATGCATAAGAAGGACAAAATTATCACCAGCAATTTCTAAATCACAATAAGGCAGCTAATAAAGAGGAGACATACGTAACAAATAATCACAATCTGTATTTTGGATATTAGAGGGAATATAATAGGACTGGGTTTTGGAACTTGTTCAAGAAAATCTCAAAAAACATTTCTTTTTGGAATAACATTTTACTTGAGTTGTTATTCTCAAAATCAGGACACAGCCACCTCTAAGGAAATCTTTCTCCACAAAGTGACACATCAAACCAAAATAGCAATTTCCCAGAAGTATGTCAACCTTTATTATTGCCACAAATGTGTGATTTCCTACAGACCATACAAATAATTTAACAAAGAGTTTGATGCTGCTTTGGGGTAGCCCTACAGGGTTTCCCACTACTCAAGACCTCTTAAGAATTTTGATACATCTCTGGGGTACTTGGAATTTCTCTGAACATTTTCTCACCTCTTACTTTTTCTCTTTTATTGATTTGCCTTCCTTTTGAACACTGCCTTTAAATCTTTCTCTCTCATCTTCACTAAAAAAATTATGTTCCTCCCCAGTAATAAATACCTTATTACTACATTTACTTTTCAGTTGTTTGAGTTAATCCAACAACCTTCTTGAATACTTGGTGAAATTAGAATATATCTGAGTCTTCATGCTAATGGCTCTGTGAATAGCTGAATGAAGCTTCAAACAATGTTTTTAATGCAAAAAGAATGAACAGACTGACCTCTGGCTTTGGAACAAAAGCTTGACCTGGAATTGTGAAACCTTTGTTAACAGTGCACAGGTGCTGAGATATTATAGAAAGCCTGCTTCGCTGTCTGGATGTTGTACTAGCTGTGAGTCGCTGTGGAAGAAAAACATTTTTGTAAATGAGTGCCAGCATTAATGTAAAACAACCAAATAAAAGTGCTCTTTAGAGTAGCCTGTTAACTAAAATACCAAATATTTTACAAACCTTTTCATGGTTATCAATAATAGAATCACACTTATTGCTATAACAATTAAAAGGTCTAGATTATACTCATGCTAACATTTCTCATATAAATAAAACAAGCTTGAAGTAAAAGAAAGCAAATACAATTTTGTTGTCATTATATTTCTATACTTTTTGGATTCAGACAAATCATAGTAACCGGAACACAGTATTTCAATAAATTCCTCAAATAGATTTGTTTGTATATTCCTGGAGCATTTGGAAACATATTCAAGAAGACATATCTCAAAGTGTATTTTAGAAAAATAAAAAAAAATGTAAAAAGTTAAGAAAACATTTTAGTCCAATCTATAAATCAACATGTAGGCTCCATTTTTCTAAACTGACAAATGCTCATAATAAAGCAAAGGGAATTCTAAGTCCAGGAAGGATTATACTTTAACCTACATTATGTTTTAGAATAGACACACTATTGTAGTCTCTATACAACATGAAGATGTAGCTTCATTAATGCTATAATTCAATGGTCTATAACAGGGGTCGCCAACCTTTTGGACCTCAGGGACCACCAAACTCATAATTTTAGATCCCAGGGACCATTAACCAGTTCTGTTGGTGTGGCCTAATTTGTGGGTGTGGCTTCGTGCTCATGTGACTGGCTGGGCATGGCTTGTGTGTAAATATTATAAATACTTATATAAATATTGAATCTTTTATTAAAAAAGAGCAACTTTTACCCAAAATCAGGCAAAGCAGGCAGATTGAGTTGCTCACAGAATCATTCAGTGATCTATCTATCTGCCATTGGCTAGCTCAGTCTCTCAAATTTGCTTGCCGTGAGTCTGCACTGAATTTGCTTGCAAGCAAACCTTCAGTCCTAATGGAGGTTCAGCTGCGCTGAGCCGAAGATCTAAAGACTAGCTAGAAAGCTAATCTAAATCTAAATCTCCTGGCACAGGAGAACAGATGATGGCCGGAAAAAGAAAAAATAACAATTTAGCAGGCAAGTTTACCAGGTAAGGAGTGGGTGGGGAGCATTCCTGTGGGCCATGTGGGTGGCGCAGCCTTGTGTTTCTGTGCAGCCTGATTTAATTGCTTTGGGGGGGGTGCTCTGGGGGTGAGATTTCTCTATGGCTCACCAAAATTTTCTCACAGCCCACCAGTTGGCAACTGCTGGTCTATAAAGTATGTGCATTAGAAAATCCATGCATGGATATGTCAATACATGAACAATTTTATCTTTGTCTATGGAGATTCTCAGTCATGGTTGTCTCAAATATGCTTTTTTGAAGAGGCAACTGGACTTTCTGGTTTTTCTTTGAAGACATTTCACTTCTCATCCAAGAAGCTTCTTCAGCTCT